TAGCATAAGTATAATACTGGAAGGCACAAATGAGAGGAGTGGAGATGAGGGAAGAGGCTCTGTTCAGCTCTCCAGGATTCACAGGGTTGTCTCAGTGCAACAGAGGTGGTTCGTAACCACGCTTGCTTGATGAGTAACCTTGCCTGAGGTCTTGCATAATGATTAGGCTTTAACTCAGTGGGCTAAGACAGTCTTGTGGCGCACAGGAGACATGGGCCACTGCTGAGGAGCGGAGACTCTCTTCAGGGTTCAGAAGGTAGCCTCAGCTATATACCCACCCACTGACTGACTGCTCAGTCATCAAATGACTAGTCTCGCGAACCATAGCCAAATCAAAAGCCACATGAATGTCGGTCAAGTGAGACTAATCCAATGAGTTTTAAACTCAGAACCCAGACTACCAGGTTAGTCTGGCAATGTGATGAGTGAATGATGCATTTCAGGCAACATGGAAGACCTAATGGAAAGAAAGTGACTGGCTGAAGATGACAGGATTCCTTAGATGGTAGTTTATATGGGGACTGAATGAGAATGTCCTTCTGGTTATCATTTACATTGACAGTAGAATCAAATTGTCCATACTCAGACTGATTCAAAACCCTAAAACAGAGGTGGCAATTATATGGAAAGAGAGAGGGACAAAGTTTATAAGTTCAGCATGACCTTCTAAGCAGTAGGGAAACAAATCTACAGTCTAGGATCTTTGTCCAGAACTTTAGACAGGTCAAAATGATCACGGAGCACACCCATTTATCACTAAACTTCATTGCTTTCGCCTACCCACCACTAACAGGGAAGGAAAATATCAGAAAAACACATCGCAAACAACTATAAACCACCCTTGAAGTGACAAAGGTGAAAGAAAGAAATATTTTCTGTACAACTCAATTTTGTTTCTGTCTGGGGGTTGTTCCATTCTGGAGCAAAGATAAAAACCTATCAATCATATATGTGTCCTGTCTGCACATTGAAGATTCCATTATGGAAGGACACAATAGTGTTTGGCTGTTTATGTTCAAAGCCAAATAAAAGCTGGCCAAAGAACCAATTTCCTCTTTGTTACCTTCATGAATAAGAAACCCATTCATCTTCCACTGTTCCACATTCACAACCCAAACAACAGACTAGTGAAGAGCCATTATCAAGCTGTCTGAGAAAATTAAATACACCTCACAGTCTCAACAATAATGGTCAAAGCTCAACTGAGAATTGAAGGAATACTGTACACTGAGGGTGTCTGTGGTAGGGCTAACCAATGGGTACAGATGTCAGTTCAACATCTAGTTTCGATGTACATTTGGTTGATTTGTCAACTAACCTGATTCAACGTGAAATCAACAAAAAATGTCACCATGTCATTGGATTTAGGTTAAATTCCCTTACGTTGATGACTTTTTTCAAACCCAATCAGTTTTCCATGTTGATTCAACGTCATCACATTTAATTATTTTGTTGAAATGACGTAAAAACAAAGTTGATTCAACCAGTTTTTGCCCAGTGGGATGCTTCAAAAGCTAAATTGAACTTGTAGACTATAGCATCATCATCAAGGTTGGGGTGTTCCTGGAATTGTTGTGTAAAGGGCTTGGCCAGTCCTATTATAATACTACAGGTACATAATGTTAAACCATCATTTGTGCCCATTTAGGGCCAGGAGTCTTTCCCTGACCATACAGCCTGACTAGGAAACATTCTGGGCCCTAGTTGTAGCATATAACAAAGGCTCAGAGGTCAAGGTCACTTTGTCAGGATAACTCTTGGTCCTGTCACCTATGATGTCATCACATCAACATTACAGATTAGATCAGTCAAGGGTGCACTTTTGTGTCTAAACAACCCACAATAAATACATTTTACCAGCAGTAACAGTTACACACACTGCAGACTTTGACACCACCATGAACCACAAAAGACTCTACATCAGACCAGTAACAACTTTGTTTATTAATTTGTCTTGCAGTGGCCTGATTGTCTCACTCCACAGCAAGTCCACTCTCTCCACCACGGTCTGAAAAGCATCTCCCGCTGAGAGGCTATCGGATGACAATCACCGGTTCCACTCCTCTCCACACGCTAAAGGTCAACACAAACTAAAACGCACCACACACCATGTCATCCCTGTGAAGCCTGTAAACAAACAGTGTGTGTATGTGTGTCTTGGTGTAGTGTGTGAGCGCATCACGTTCGGCCCGACCTCTCACTGGGGAAGGAAATTAATTCTGATGGCAACATAAGAGCTCTGACTAGAGACAGGCAGCGAAGCCTTGAAGAGACACAGTGGTGAAGTGGAGTGTGAAAACTGTCTATCGGAGAATCGACATGGGGACCTTAATAAACTCAGAACAGTCTACCACCTAAGCTAGTATACTTGGCATCCTGTGATGGATGTTGTAGTTATTGCTTTGCTCCGGCATCAGCCCAGTCTTTTCTGTCTGAGTAGGAACTCTAGGAGCCAGACTGTAGTGTTTGAAAAAAGCAAATATGTAGTTCAACTGCAAATAGAATTACAGTACACCTTGTAGGTAGAAAAAAATGTAAGACAAACGGTTGTGTGAAAGAGTAAGACATTGATATAAAGTTGAAATGAAGACATGTCGCAGCTTTGATTTTATCACATTCTGCACTTGAGGACCGTACAGTATTTTGTCTCTACAACAGACAACTGTATTTTTAAGATTGTGATAATAGACTGGCAATGACCTACCTTTGACTGAGTATACAAATGTTTGAGCCAAAAGTAGAAATCCATAAATTAATTTCAATTGAACTAAATACAACTATAGAATAAACCCTCTGCTAAGGGGGGGGGGGGGCAGGACCGACTTTGGGATACCCTGATGTACAGTGAGGGAAAAAAGTATTTGATCCCCTGCTGATTTTGTACATTTGCCCACTGACAAAGAAATTATCAGTCTATAATTTTAATTTGAACAGTGAGAGACAGAATAACAACAACAAAAATCCAGAAAAACGCATGTAAAAACGCAGTGAAGGACTGAACTCCTGCAGCGCCCGCAAGGTCCCCCTGCTCAAGAAAGCACATATACAGGGCCGTCTGAAGTTTGCCAATGAACATCTGAATGATTCAGAGGAGAACTGGGTGAAAGTGTTGTGGTCAGATGAGACCAAAATCGAGCTCCTTGGCATCAACTCAACTCGCCGTGTTTGGAGGAGGAGGAATGCTGCCTATGACCCCAAGAACACCATCCCCACCGTCAAACATGGAGGTGGAAACATTATGCTTTGGGGGGGTTTTTCTGCTAAGGGGATAGGACAACTTCACTGCATCAAAGGGACAATGGACGGCGCCATGTACCGTCAAATCTTGGGTGAGAACCTCCTTCCCTCAGCTAGGGCATTGAAAATGGGTCGTGGATGGGTATTCCAGCATGACAATGACCCAAAACACACGGCCAAGGCAACAAAGGAGTGGCTCAAGAAGAAGCACATTAAGGTCCTGGAGTGGCCTAGCCAGTCTCCAGACCATAATCCCATAGAAAGTCTATGGAGGGAGCTGAAGGTTCGAGTTGGCAAACGTCAGGCTCGAAACCTTAATGACTTGGAGAATATCTGCAAAGAGGAGTGGGACAAAATCCCTCCTGAGATGTGTGCAAACCTGGTGGCCAACTACAAGAAACATCTGACCTCTGTGATTGCCAACAAGGGTTTTGCCAGAGGGGTCAAATACTTATTTCCCTAATTAAAATGCAAATCAATTTATAACATTTTTGACATGCGTTTCTCTGGATTTTTTTGTTGTTATTCTGTCTCTCACTGTTCAAATAAACCTACCATTAAAATTATAGACTGATCATGTCTTTGTCAGTGGGCAAACGTACAAAATCAGCAGGGGATCAAATACTTTTTTCCCTCACTGTAGGTATTAGGGTGCCATTTGGGAAGCACCTCATATATCCGTTGGTAACGCTTGGGAATTGATGGGTCCTCCTCCATTTAGGGTATTTAATCTTATGTAAATTTGAGGCATTATTCAAGATTAAAAGCAGGGGAAACTGTGGCGCTCTAAATAAAACAATTACAAGAATACACCTAACAGAGGGTCTGCATTCATTGACTGAGGAAAATGCATCTGGGTCATGTTCATTAGCACATGCAATAGAAAAAATGTTGCAACAGAAAGAATTTGAGTCAGATAGTCTGTTCTCTTCTGGTTGGTGTCTAATAAACCCCAACAATTGCATTCTAAAATCTGATCACAAAGGTTTATAAAATATTTACTAACACAGACTTCTCTGGGGTAAATACAGAGACACGTTTATTCCATTATATGAAATGTATTCAGTGGTAGTACTGTACAAGTTAGAGTAGGTTTACATTGTATCCCACCAGTAACATAGGTTGTATAGTTATTCTAAAGATGCCTTAGAGTAGATCACGTAAGACCTGAAAGGGGAATTCAATCAAACTCCATCACAGGAATGCTGCTAGATCAAAGACCATATATCACACAGGCATAATAATATTGCTTACAAATACTAGGGGGCTTTACTTAAAACACACGTTACAGGCAAGATAGTGCTGTATGTAAAGATGAAGGGATGCTGTACAGAAAAAGGTCATTATCAACAAATAATCCCTGCTAGTTCCTGGGGGGGGTTCAGCCATACAACACACACACACACAGAATGTCTATAGTTCCAGTCAGGGTCCTGACCCAACTCTCCCTCAGACTTCCCCAACTCCGCCTCCCTCAGTATTCCCCAACTCTCCCTACCTCCTCGAACATTCCCTCCCCCTCTCTTCCCCAACTTTCCCTCCCTCCTCCCAAAACCCTGGATTACGTTCAGTAGGTATAGAAAGGAGAAAACAGCTTCAAATTTAAAATAAAAAACGGCCCATTCTCATTGGACTACATTCTAGTGAAAAAACACATTCAGTGACTTCTGAACTTCGACGTTTTGAAACATTTCCCAACATTTTATGCCTACTGAACGCTACCCTCCCTTCCCACCAGACCGAGGGTCTCGGTCTCGTTTCCATCACTCCTTCCTGCGTTTCTTGTCGTGGTCATAGTCCTTGGAGCCTCTGCTGGTGGAGGGTCTCTTGGAGCCCCCGTGCTGCTTAGCCTCCTCCAAAAACTTGTCCAGACCGAAGGGATCCTCCTCAAACTGGACGGGGCCGTCACGACGAGGACCGTGGTCCGTACCAGAGAACTCACGGTCAGGAACAAATCTGGGAGAGGGGAGAGAGAGAGTTAGGATATGTTTGAATGTTTCTGAAATAGTAGACAAAATGAGGCAAAGAAAATGGTTGGGTTTTGGATCCATGTAGGTATGACCCATAGAAAGTATAATGCAGGGTTTATATGGTTTATTTATACAGGTCTGTGTCAATATACAGTTAACTAGTTAAATAACCTAGCTTCCACCAAGCCATAGGACTGCTGAACAGTTAATCAAATAGCTACCAGGACTATTTGCATTATTACCCTTTATTTGATTATTATTTATTATGATCTTTTGCACTGACTCTCTTGCACAGGCTCGATGTACAATCACTGGACTCTAACCACACACTCACATATACAACACTGACACTCCAACACACACACTCTACTCTGTTTATTATTTATGCATAGTCACTTCACCCCTACCTACATGTACATCACAGAAGGTTGGTGGCACCTTAATTGGGGAGGACGGGCTCGTGGTAATAGCTGGAGTGGAATCAGTGGAATGGTATCAAAATGGTTTCCATGTGTTTGGATGTCATTCCATTTACTCTATTCCAGACAATATTATGAACCGGCCTTTCCTCAGAAGCCTCCACTGATGTACACTACCAGTCAAAAGTTTTATAACACCTACTCATTCAAGGGTTTTTCTTTCTTTTTAAAATGTTCTACATTGTAGAATAATAGTGAAGACATCAAAACTATGAAATAACACATATGGAATCATGTAGTAACCAAAAAAGTGTTAAACAAATCAAAATATATGTTATATTTGAGATTCTTCAAATAGCCACCCTTTGCCTTGATGACAGCTTTGCACACTCTTGGCATTCTCTCAATCAGCTTCATGAGATAGTCACCTGGAATGCATTTCAATTAACAGGTGTGCCTTGTTAAAAGTTAATTTGTGGAATTTCTTTCCTTCTTAATGCATTTGAGCCAATCAGTTGTGTTGTGGCGAGGTAGGGGGGGTATACAGAAGTTCGCCCTATTTGGTAAAATACCAAGTCCATATTATGGCAAGAACAGCTCAAATAAGCAAAGAGAAACAACAGTCCATCATTACTTTAAGACATGAAGGTCAGTCAATATGGAACTTTTCAAGAACTTTGAAAGTTTCTTCAAGTGCAGTCGCAAAAACCATCAAGCGCTATGATGAAACTGGCTCTCATGAGGACCGCCACAGGAATGGAAGACTCAGAGTTACCTCAGCCTCAGAAATTGCAGCCCAAATAATCGCTCCACAGAGTTCAAGTAACAGACATCTCAACATCAACTGTTCAGAGGAGACTGTGTGAATCAGGCCTTTATGGTCGAATTGCTGCAAAGAAACCACTACTAAAGAACACCAATAAGAAGAAGAGACATGCTTCGGCCATGAAACACGAGCAATGGTCATTAGACCGGTGGAAATTTGTCCTTTGGTCTGGAGTCCAAATTTGAGATTTTTGGTTCCAACCGCTGTGTCTTTGTGAGACGCGGTGTGGGTGAACGGATGATCTCCGCATGTGTATTTCCCACCGTAAAGCATGGAGGTGGTTATGGTGTGGGGGTGCTTTGCTGGTGACACTGTCTGTGATTTATTTAGAATTCAAGGCACATTTTACCAGCATGGCTACCACAGCATTCTGCAGCAATACGCCATCCCATCTGGTTTGGCCTTAGTGGGACTACCATTTGTTTTCAACAGGACAATGACCCAACACACCTCCAGGCTGTGTAACGACTATTTTACCAAGAAGGAGAGTGATGGAGTGCTGCATCAGATGACCTGGCCTCCACAATCCCCTGACCTCAACCCAATTGAGATTAGTCGGACCGCAGAGTGAAGGAAAAGCAGCCAACAAGTGCTCAGCATTCAAGACTGTTGGAAAAGCATTCCAGGTGAAGCTGGTTGAGAGAATGCCAAGAGTGTGCAAAGCTGTCATCAAGGCAAAGGGTGGCTATTTGAAGAATCTCAAATATAAAATATATTTTGATTTGTTTAACACTTTTTTGGTTACTACATGATTCCATGTGTTATTTCATAGTTTTGATGTCTCCACTAAATAGTAAAAAGAAACAAAAACCCTTGAATGAGTAGATGTTCTAAAACCTTTGACCGGTAGTGTACATATTACCTCAATTACCTTGATTGACTCGTACCACTGCACATTGACTCGGTACCGGTACTCCTTGTATATATATCCTCATTATTGTTATTTTATAGTGTTACTATTTTTCCTTTTGTTTGTTTAGCACATTTCAGACGTTTTTTTAAACTGCATTGTTGGTTAAGGGCTTGTAAGTAAGCATTTCACAGTAAGGTTTACCTAAACCTGTTGTATTCGGCGCATGTGACAAATAAAATGTGATTTGATAAAGGAAACACTTTAGTAATACAAAGTATATTGAAAGCAGCTGCTTCCACATAAGTGTGGTTCCTGAATTATTTAAGCAATTAACAAACCATCAATGCTTAGCGGTCATGTCACAGAGATGGAAAGAGTTGCCTCATCATTGTATCTGTCCCATTATGGCGTCTGTGACAGCATGGGCAGCGCCATTGAGGCTATCTCCATTTTAAAGTAGTACATGTTCTTATTTTGTGTTTGAAAAAAGTGTAAAGCTTATGTTGGTGATCCACAGCCTGCAGTGCTTGAATCCTGAACCAAATATTGTGCCATTCATTTATTGTGGCCACTAGATAGCAGTGTTAAAGCCATTTACAAACCATAGGACCCAATTGGAAGAAGACAATGCTCTGATCATTGGCTGATCGTTCCCAACCAATAGGAATCCCCACCCAGTTGACTACTTAAAAAATGGTGGAAGCCCTCAATGGAAATGTCCATGCTAAAATGGGTTAGATCCTAGATGAGTCCTCTATACATCTCTATGGGTCATGTACAGTGGGGAGAACAAGTATTTGATACACTGCCGATTTTGCAGGTTTTCCTACTTACAAAGCATGTAGAGGTCTGTAATTTTTATTATAGGTACACTTCAACTGTGAGAGACAGAATCTAAAACAAAAATCCAGAAAATCACATTGTATGATTTTTAAGTAATTAATTTGCATTATATTGCATGACATAAGTATTTGATCACCTACCAACCAGTAAGAATTCCAACTCTCACAGACCTGTTAGTTTTTCTTTAAGAAGCCCACCTGTTCTCCACTCATTACCTGTATTAACTGCACCTGTTTGAACTCGTGACCTGTATAAAAGACACCTGTCCACACACTCAATCAAACAGACTCCAACCTCTCCACAATGGCCAAGACCAGATAGCTGTGTAAGGACATCAGGGATAAAATTGTAGACCTGCACAAGGCTGGGATGGGCTACAGGACAATAGGCAAGCAGCTTGGTGAGAAGGCAACAACTGTTGGCGCAATTATTAGAAAATGGAAGAAGTTCAAGATGACGGTCAATCATCCTCGGTCTGGGGCTCCATGCAAGATCTCACCTCGTGGGGCATCAATGATCATGAGGAAGGTGAGGGATCAGCCCAGAACTACACGGCAGGACCTGGTCAATGACCTGAAGAGAGCTGGGACCACAGTCTCAAAGAAAACCATTAGTAACACACTACGCCGTCATGGATTAAAATCCTGCAGCGCACGCAAGGTCCCCCTGCTCAAGCCAGCGCATGTCCAGGCCCGTCTGAAGTTTGCCAATGACCATCTGGATGATCCAGAGGAGGAATGGGAGACGGTCATGTGGTCTGATGAGACAAAAATAGAGCTTTTTGGTCTAAACTCCACTCGCCGTGTTTGGAGGAAGAAGAAGGATGAGTACAACCCCAAGAACACCATCCCAACCGTGAAGCATGGAGGTGGAAACATCATTCTTTGGGGATGCTTTTCTGCAAAGGGGACAGGACGACTGCACCGTATTGAGGGGAGGATGGATGGGGCCATGTATCGCGAGATCTTGTCCAACAACCTCCTTCCCTCAGTAAGAGCATTGAAGATGGGTCGTGGCTGGGTCTTCCAGCATGACAACGACCCGAAACACACAGCCAGGGCAACTAAGGAGTGGCTCCGTAAGAAGCATCTCAAGGTCCTGGAGTGGCCTAGCCAGTCTCCAGACCTGAACCCAATAGAAAATCTTTGGAGGGAGCTGAAAGTCCGTATTGCCCAGCGACAGCCCCGAAACCTGAAGGATCTGGAGAAGGTCTGTATGGAGGAGTGGGCCAAAATCCCTGCTGCAGTGTGTGCAAACCTGGTCAAGACCTACAGGAAACGTATGATCTCTGTAATTGCAAACAAAGGTTTCTGTTCCAAATATTAAGTTCTGCTTTTCTGATGTACCAAATACTTATGTCATGCGATAAAATGCAAATTAATTACTTCAAAATCATACAATGTGATTTTCTGGATTTTTGTTTTAGATTCCGTCTCTCACAGTTGAAGTGTACCTATGATAAAAATTACAGACCTCTACATGCTTTGTAAGTAGGAAAACCTGCAAAATCGGCAGTGTATCAAATACTTGTTCTCCCCAGAATATAAAAATTCCCAGTTGCCCATTATTTCAGCTACCATGGTTAGAAGAGGAGATCTCGGTGACTTTGAGAGGTCTCAAAAGGAGCATAGGGGGTTTAAAGGGTGCGTCTAAGCTAACATATGGAATTGTTTTAAGATGGTCATACCAAGAATCATTTATCTATTTGATTTTGAGTTTTAGGACCCCTTAAGGTATAAAAAAAAATAAAAAAAATAAAAAAATAATGAAACATTGAATTTGGCTTTTCTGCTATTAGCCCATAGAAACGCATTGAATAACAGCTTCATACATGGACAAACAGACAGTAAGAAAAACATTTTTTGAAAGGAAGTTTGTTCTGAAGTGTCCGTCCTATATCTGAGAGATAAAAGAAAGATCAGGAAACATTATGTTGACATATTTTACTCCTTATTTTAGGCACTAAACCAACTCCATATATACTCATTTTTTAAACTGGTACCCGTATACCTTCAGAATAATCTTGTGAGGCTTGTTGGCGTCCTAGAGTAAAACCAACACCATTGTGTTCGTGAGAGTCTCATCTTTCCATAGAGAGGTCATAATAGTTTGTTGGCCAAACTGTTTGGACGCTACATACATTTTTGTGAGAAGATGTCTCATGGTCTGACAAACACAGCTCTAGCTCTACCACCTTTCACGCAGATGCGGAAGGACGACATCGGCGGATACTGTGGATTGAGACGCAGCCCATGCAAAAAAATAGATATCTAGATAGATATCTCTAGCTTAAACTGATGGATTTTGATGCTAATTAGATTTCTGCGGGGCCACAGACATCGACTCTAGGGGGTTTTCTTTTATTTTGGCAGTTACCTGTATGTATTGATGTGCACTGTTTGGAATGCTGTCCATTTAACTTTCTTGGTTTATTATTTCCCCAAAGTGATCGAAAAAAACAGGTAGAATATATCAGTGATGGCAACAATCTGTCAGATAATACTGTTCTATAGTGTTAATAAGGCTATCTGTAGAAAAACAATAAAATAATCCTATCCTATACACCAGCCAGTAAAACGAACTGAGACTGGATTTCAGTAGACATAATGGACATTAGGGGAGAAATACTACATATGAAGTAAGCCTCTCTGTTCTGGTATACGCACTATACCATCGACGTCTGCATGATCCACTTTGGTGCAATATCACTACAGTCCTTACACATACAGACTGCAACGTTCTTGCATTGCGTACGTAGGGTATAAATTAGGCTTAAACATCGCATTTCTCAGCAGTCGATTGCATCTCTCCCCAGAGAGGCAGCAGCGGCACGGAAACAGATGACCTATGATACCTGTCGCTCTGCACGAGTGTGACCAGGTCATCAACATACAGTAATATACTGTATATGGATATAGTATAGGCCAGGTCTCTCTCAAACCCTGTTCCTGGAGAACTACCGTCCTGTAGGTTCACTCCAAACCTAATCTAGCACAACAGATTAAAAAAATTAACTGGTTGATAAGCAGAAGCAGGTTAATTACAACTGGGGTTGAAGCGATAACCTACAGGAGGGTAGCTCTCCAGGAACAGGGTTGGAGAGCCCTGGTATAAGCTATATTCAGAAGGGTAATATAACAGACGGAGGTAGTACCTGTTGCTCTGCATGAGTGTGTCCAGGTCATCTCCGTACATGTCCTTGTCAGAGCTCTTGGTGGGCCGGTAGATGTTCTGGGCCATGTCTCTGCCACTCCTGAACGGCTGGTCGTACACATTGTACATCTCATCCTCCCCGCCTGCAAAACCGCTGTCCATACCCTGGGGGGGGGGGAGAGAGGGATGGGGAGGAGGGCGAGAGTAGTGGTTTAACAAAGGACAGACAGTGTAACAGGTGAGATCTTAAATCGCTCTAGTTGAAACCCCACTAGAGGATAACCTCTGACAGCACAGCAGGTGTGTGTGTCTCACCTTGGTCTGGTTGAACAGTCTCTGGTCGTACTGAGCCTCACTGGAGGCTCTAGGGTTGGGCTGACCCAGAGCGATGAGCTCACTGACGTCCCTGTCCTGGTCTCTCTGCAGCTTCGACCTGACGATGGGAATAAACCAAACCAGACAGTTAGTTAAGGAGGAAGGCGAGAGAGAGACAACATATGGATACGGGAGAGCTTGATTTTTAGCTCGACTGGTGCTGTAATTTAGGAGTACTAGAATGGAATGCACATATTTGGGCGGTAGCCCACCAGCCCGCGAGCTAAATGTAACGCACCAACCTCTGTAGCTTGTGTGTGAAATGAGTTGTTGCACCAAACCGCACATCACTGTCCGCTAACCATATAACAATCCCAACATATCTGCAGATAATCGCTTTAGCAGAAGTGACTGCAAGGTTAAGTAGACGCTCGGGGCTAACCGTCTCTTCATAATGAGGCCATTTACAACCAGCAGTCAAGCCTGTCGTTGTAATCAGTGGCTGTCTCCCTCCTTTCTTCCTACCGCTCTCCTCCTTCCCCCTTCCATCATCTGACAGCTCCACTGCAGAGACAGACAACTGGAGTAGAGTAGCCCAATCTCTCTCCATCCCCCCTGTCTGTCTCTCACCAACTTTCTCGCTCTCATTTTCTTTGTTTGTCTCTGTCTGTCTCCCTCTCGGTCTCATTCGATCTCTATCTCTGAAACACTGCAGCTGTAGCAGACAGGACGGTCAGGGGGTCTAGGCTGGGTGCTGCTGTGGCCAGCTGCGTTCCTTCAGCGCTCCCGATGAACCATGAATGATTCAGCAGGGTGTGTGTGTGTGTGGATATGTCTGTGTGTGTGGATGTATGAGTGGGCAGTGTGCATGGTGTTTCTATGTGTGGAGGCGTGGCATGGTGTGTGTGTGTCTTTCCGTGCTGTTAAAAATGAATGTACCTCTTATCGGGGGCGGCTCTGGAGATGTTCCTGTCGTGCTGTCTCTCTTTCCTCCTGTCATGGCGGATCTCGTCACGCTCCCTGGCCTCACCGTCCTCACCACCTGCCACAGGAGAGAAAGGGGGCGTAGAAGAGAGGGGAGGTATGGAGAGAGGGGAGGTATGGAGAGAGGGGAGGTATGGAGAGAGGTACAGGGTGACGATAGAGAGAGGGGAGGTATGGAGAGAGGTACAGGGTGACGATAGAGAGAGGGGAGGTATGGAGAGAGGGGATAGAGAGGTACAGGGTGACGATAGAGAGAGGGGAGGTATGGAGAGAGGGGATAGAGAGGTACAGGGTGACGATAGAGAGAGGGGAGGTATGGAGAGAGGGGATAGAGAGGTACAGGGTGACGATAGAGAGAGGGGAGGTATGGAGAGAGGGGATAGAGAGAGGTACAGGGTGACGATGGAGAGAGGGGAGGTATGGAGAGCGAGGACGAGAGAGAAGCGAAAGGGTGTTACCAGGCGCCTCACTCACACATAATCAGGACTGACAGTTGAGTAGTCTGCTCTCTGCATGCACACAGCTACTTGGACAAGATTCTGAGAAAGGTCTATGGGTTCGTGTTTCTCAATGTTGCATTTGGTTAAACATTGTCAGTATATTTAATTTCAAATATATTGACTGATTTGTCAGACTATCCACATGACTTTACAACACTTTACATTGGCAGTCCTTGTACAGGAAAACATGAAATCACAAACAGGTGATCTGATCCTAGATCTGTGGTTAGGGTCAAGCAGGAAGAGGTTGTGGACTGACCTTTGTCTCCTCCGTGACCTTTGATCCCTGCCCTGCGGTCTCGGGCCATCTGAGCCAGCTCTCTGAGCTTCTCCTCCTTCTTCTCCTTCTCTTTCTGGGCCATCTTCTTCTCCACCTGGGCTCTCATCTCCACAGCTTCTCTGGCCTGGATGCAGTGACACAGAATTAGTTTACATTCATTTAAATCAACATCACATGCTAAACTAGGCTACTAGCGTAAGTGTGGCTTGGAGGCATATAGGCTTAGACACAACACAACAAAGAGAAAACACAATCTTATTTTTTATGATGAGAGAATCACTAAATGCTTGAGCCAATATCATACAGAAAATAAGTTGGCTTTGAAATGGACACAAAGAGATGACCATTCACCAAAAAACTGATATTTCAGAGAGGCTCGGAGAAGTCGCTAAGCACAGGACAAACATCAGTTCCCAAAACCACAAACAGAGTACCTTTCTGTCAGCGATGTAGAGCGCCTCGGCCAGTTTGGCAAAGTTCTCATTGATGTGAACGGTCTGCAGTCCTCTACCGTCCGCCGCCAGACGCTTGTCCAGGGGGATGGTGTAACCCTAGGAGACAAACACAGAACATAGGACTTCACTTTGGGAATACTTTCTATGAATTACACACTCACACATAATTAAGTGATAATGCCCTCGTAGGCGGTGTTTGGAGCATATATTGGCACAGGTCTTGTTAGGGCCGAGACTTTGTCTCGGGACGGCAAACCGTGCCAATATATCCTCCAAAACACCGCCTTCGAGGGCATTATCACTTTTATACAACGGGTTTCCAACATACTCAAATAATGAGACATATTTTCATTAAAAACGTTATTTTGGTGAATTTATTCATACCATTTCATCCTTCCACAGGATATAATCCCGACACAAATCTAGGGTTGCTACCCAAATCGGCTGGTCGTTCGTTCTATCGGTTCGGTTGCCAGAGTCGTGACCCAGTCGTTCAGTCTTTTGTTCTGTATCAGTCGTTGGTTCTAAATGTTCCATTGCCATACTGGCTGGCAACGTTCTTATCCCTTGCTTGCTAGCTAGCCAACTGCGGCTAACTTACAGTCACGTCAAACAGTGCAGCCAGAATAACAACAAAGTAGCTGCATTTGTTTAAGCTGTTTTCTAGTGACATTTATTTGGATGCATCCATAACAATGAGCTAATGATGCGCGATTTCACCTGGCATAGAAAATGTGCTCTCTCGTCAGGACACTGTTGTTCAGAGGAGCTAGCCAACAACACAGCTAACACAATCACTTCAAACTGAAGCTGGAAAGACTGCAAACTGTAGCTGGAAAGACTGCAAACTGTAGCTGGAAAAACTGCAAACTGTAGCTGGAAAAACTGCAAACTAGATGCACTGCGTTTTGTTTACCTTAATTTTTGTATTTTATTATTAAAGCCAGCTAATTCATGATTTCGACTGGCTGAGAAACGCTGCCTGCCTGTCTGTCTCATCACGACACGTTCATTACTATAGGACAGCTGGAGATCGAATTTGAATATTGAAACAATGTTGCAAATGTCAGAGACAGACAGCAATGTTTATACAAATCTCCGCTGTTGAAAACTAACTGTAAGTCTAAAAGAAATGGGAGATAATGTCTAGATGCTTTTTATAGTGGAGATCAAGTTTATAACTTGCCTGGCTGGGCTGATGAGACAGTGGATTGCGCAGTCAGATGGAACAGAGTAAATAGGCATTTTAACGTCATAGATTTAGCCGGTGGTAACTTGTGGAATAGACACCGGCTGGAATGTGGTTTTAACCAATCAGCTTTCAGAATTAGACCCACCGGTTGTATAATGCCTTATAATGAAAGTATAGTGCATTATACAACTTTGCTTTAGGCAGTCATAACAACCCCTAGTCATAGAACACAGGAGAGTACTTACAATGTCAGCAATCTTGACCTCATACAAACACAACCTCCCATTGATTCACTAGTGTCTCCAGAGGGAGTGAGCAGAGTTAGTACCTTTGCGTTCTTCCAGTTTGAGATGCAGGGAGGAATCTTCCACTCCTGTTGTTCCTTGACTGTCATCTGGTAGGACAGAGAGAGAAAACACGTCACATCTTTGTTCAACATTTACACAGCTAGAGAAAAAGTACATTTAATTTTGCCATTAAAAGGTGTCGAGTTGATCGGATCCTTTTACACATTATTAAAGTAATAAAAGCATAACTAGTAACTTCAATCTTGAGATCAGTTAAGTCTGTCTGAACCCCAATGGTACCTTTCTGCTTGGTGAGTGCATGACAGGTGCAGGAGGGGAGGGAGGTCCACGAGGAATCTTCTTATTGATCCTGGAATAGCAACATTTACATTTCACATCCTAGTAAGCGAGAGTGCTTCTAGCTTTGTTTAGGGATGTGCATGACTCAAGTTACCCTAGCACAGACAGGTTGGTTGTTAAGTATCAAAACCAACACGTGCGCAACTATGGGGCAAAACAGACGAGGTTGGCTTAGATTGTTGACAACATGTAAGCTATATCTGATATCCAATGTTTTTTGAAAAAAAAAAATACATTTGCACAATGACCACTTGTTGTCTCTCAAATACATTGTTACAGTTGCTTGATAGCTAGCTAGCTAATTTTAACCATCTGTCAAAACACCTCAAAACAAGACATGGTATCAGGTACGAGATAAAACTAGCTGAAATGAGCCACCTACGATTCCCCACATGGCAGCTTCTTGTCATTGTTGCTAGCTATCTGGCCATCCAGAATCACAACAACACACAGCCTTCTGCCACATTGAAGCGTGCGCATCGTTTCCGTGACGTTGTCAGCTAACCAGTCTATAGCAAGATAGTGAAAGTGACAAGCACATAAGTTTTAAGTTCAGTCAGTTATGAGTTTAGTCAGCAACGCTGGTGGGAATGTACTTACTTGAAGCGTGGGGGCTCCATGGGGTCCTTCTGCATCTCCACCATACGGATGACCCTTTGTTTGGCCCCCGAGTTGAAGGCCACGCCCTGCTGGGACGGAGTGTACCTGGGGAAATAATACAAGGTATCAGAATCTGTATGACGCTGTATGAATGAAGGCCTACATACACTGCTCAAAAAAATTAAGGGAACACTTAAACAACACAATGCAACTCCAAGTCAATCACACTTCTGTGAAATTAAACTGTCCACTTAGGAAGCAACACTGATTGACAATAAATGTCACATGCTGTTGTGCAAATGGAATAGACAACAGGTGGAAATTATAGGCAATTAGCAAGACACCCCCAATAAAGGACTGGTTTTGCAGGTGGTGACCACAGACCACTTCTCAGTTCCTATGCTTCCTGGCTGATGTTTTGGTCACTTTTGAATGCTGGCGGTGCTTTCACTCTAGTGGTAGCATGAGACGGAGTCTACAACCCACACAAGTGGCTCAGGTAGTGCAGCTCATCCAGGATGGCACATCAATGCGAGCTGTGGCAAGAAGGTTTGCTGTGTCTGTCAGCGTAGTGTCCAGAGCATGGAGGCGCTACCAGGAGACAGGCCAGTACATCAGGAGACGTGGAGGAGGCCGTAGGAGGGCAACAACCCAGCAGCAGGACTGCTACCTCCGCCTTTGTGCAAGGAGGAGCACTGCCAGAGCCTTGCAAAATGACCTCCAGCAGGCCACAAATGTGCATGTGTCTGCTCAAAAGGTCAGAAACAGACTCCATGAGGGTGGTATGAGGGCCCGACGTCCACAGGTGGGGGTTGTGCTTACAGCCCAACACCGTGCAGTATGTTTGGCATTTGCCAGAGAACACCAAGATTGGCAAATTCACCACTGGCGCCCTGTGCTCTTCACAGATTAAAGCAGGTTCACACTGAGCACGTGACAGACGTGACAGAGTCTGGAGACGCCGTGGAGAACGTTCTGCTGCCTGCAACATCCTCCAGCATGACCGGTTTGGCGGTAGGTCAGTCATGGTGTGGGGTGGCATTTCTTTGGGGGGCTACACAGCCCTCCATGTGCTCGCCAGAGGTAGCCTGACTGCCATTAGGTACCGAGATGAGATCCTCAGACCCCTTGTGAGACCACATGCTGGTGCGGTTGGCCCTGGGTTCCTCCTAATGCAAGACAATGCTAGACCTCATGTGGCTGGAGTGTGTCAGCAGTTCCTGCAAGAGGAAGGCATTGATGCTATGGACCGCCCGTTCCCCAGACCTGAATCCAATTGAGCACCTCTGGGACATCATGTCTCGCTCCATCCACCAACGCCACGTTGCACCACAGACTGTCCAGGAGTTTGCTTTAGTTCAGGTCTGGGAGGAGATCCCTCAGGAGACCATCCGCCACCTCATCAGGAGCATGCCCAGGCGTTGTAGGGAGGTCATACAGGCACGTGGAGGCCACACACACTACTGAGCTAATTCTGACTTGTTTTAAGGACATTACATCAAAGTTGGATCAGCCTGTAGTGTGGTTTTCCACTTTAATTTTGAGGGTGACTCCAAATCCAGACCTCCATGGGTTGATAAATTTGATTTCAATTGATAATTTTTGTGTGATTTGTTGTCAGCACATTCAACTATGTAAAGAAAAAAGTATTTAATAAGATTATTTCATTCATTCAGATCTAGGATGTATTATTTTAGTGTTCCCTTTATTTTTTTGAGCAGTGTATGTTATACAGCGTGTGGCCTAGTCCTCCTTTTGCTTTCCTTACTGCCCATGATGACAGGATTTATATAGCCTAGTCTTATTATCTAGGGCGTTCACTCACTGCTGTACAATGTAGAGAAAAACGGGGCAATTCAAGAGGGTGCTTTGAAATTAATGTCAAAACATTGTTGTTTTCTTTGCCCTATGTCATTATAAATTACATAGAATTAATCATTAGATTGTTCTATACAATATTATAACCTTAACATACTTGTACTTGACAGTGTTGATGAAATAAGAATGTTAATTTGAGGTGACCGTTGCTAGTTTAGACTGCGACGCTCTTGGTTGTATCTCTTCCATATGTGGTGAGGTGAGACCATTTGGAGGTGTTTCCGCTGGTTGGACAAATCAAAATCAACTTGATACCTTTGTAATTTTCACCTCCAGATCCTTGGTTTTCATTGCCTAAAACCACGATCAATCTGCGTTTCTATGGCGATTTAAAGGGAAAGACTCAGAAATACACAATGAAAACAGGAACAGATTGTCTTTGCGGAGGGTGGATATTGAAATTCAGTATTTTGCTTTGTGTGTGTGTGTGTTTGTTTGTATATATTATATATACACTACCAGTCAAAAGACTGGACACACCTACTCATTCAAGGGTTATTTTTTATTTTTAAAAGATTTTACATTGTAGAATAATAGTGAAGATATCAAAACAATGAAAGAACACATATGGAATCATGTAGTAACCAAAAAAGTGTTAAACAAATCAAAATATTTTATATTTGAGATTCTTCAAATAGCCACCCTTTGCCTTGATGACAGCTTTGCACACGCTTGGCATTCTCTCAACCAGCTTCATGAGGTAGTCACCTGGAATGCATTTCAAATAACAGGTGTGCCTTGTTAAAAGTTAATTTGTGGAATTTATTTCCTTCTTAATACGTTTGAGCCAATCAGTTGTGCTGTGACAAGGTAGGGGGTTTACAGAATATAGCCCTATTTGTTAAAAGACCAAATCCATATTATGGCAAGAACAGCTCAAATAAGCAAAGACAAACAACAGTCCATCATTACTTTAAGACGTGAAGGTCAGTCAATACGGAACATTTCAAGAACTTTGAAAGTTTCTTCAAGTGCAGTCGCAAAAATTATCAAGCGCAGTCGCAAAAATCATCAAGCCACAGGAATGGAAGACCCAGAATTACCTTTGCTGCAAAGGATATGTTCATTAGAGTTAACAGACTCAGAAATTGCAGGCCAAATAACTGCTTCACAGAGTTCAAGTAACATACATCTCAATATCAACTGTTCAGAGGGGACTGTGTGAATCAGACCTTCATGGTTGAATTGCTGCAAAGAAACCACTACTAAAGGACACCAATAAGAAGAAGAGACCTGCTTGGGACTGCACTTGAAGAAACTTTCAAAGTTCTTGAAATTGTCCATATTGATTGACCTTCATGTCTTAAAGTAATGATGGACTGTCGTTTCTCTTTGCTTATTTGAGCTTTTCTTGCCATTATATGGACTTCGTGTTTTACCAATTAGGGCCATCTTCTGTATACCCCCCTTACCTTGTCACAACACAACTGATTGGCTCAAATGCATTAAGGAAAGAAATTCCACAAATTAACTTTTAACAAGGCACACCTGTTAATTGAAATGCATTCCAGGTGACAACCTCATGAAGCTGGTTGAGAGAATGCCAAGAATGTGCAAAGCTGTCATCAAGGCAAAGGGTGGCTATTTGAAGAATCTCAAATATAAAATATTTTGATTTGTTTAACACTTCTTTGGTTACTACATGATTCCATATGTGTTATTTCATAGTTGATCTCTTCACTATTATTCTACAATGTAAAAAATCGTAAAAATAAAGAAAAACCCTTGAACGAGTAGGTGTCCACACTTTTGACTGGTAGTGTTTACAGTGGGGGAAAAAAGTATTTAGTCAGCCACCAATTGTGCAAGTTCTCCCACTTAAAAAGATGAGAGAGGCCTGTAATTTTCATCATAGGTACACGTCAACTATGACAGACTAATTGAGAAAAAAATTTATGAATTTATTTGCAAATTATGGTGGAAAATAAGTATTTGGTCACCTACAAACAAGCAAGATTTCTGGCTCTCACAGACCTGTAATTTCTTCTTTAAGTGGCTCCTCTGTCCTCCACTCGTTACCTGTATTAATGGCACCTGTTTGAACTTGTTATCAGTATAAAAGACACCTGTCCACAACCTCAAACAGTCACACTCCAAAGTCCACTATGGCCAAGACCAAAGAGCTGTCAAAGGACACCAGAAACAAAATTGTAGACCTGCACCAGGCTGGGAAGACTGAATCTGCAATAGGTAAGCAGCTTGGTTTGAAGAAATCAACTGTGGGAGCAATTATTAGGAAATGGAAGAGATACAAGACCACTGATAATCTCCCTCAATCTGGGGCTCCATGCAAGATCTCACCCCGTGGGGTCAAAATGATCACAAGAACGGTGAGCAAAAATCCCAGAACCACACGGGGGGACCTAGTGAATGACCTGCAGAGAGCTGGGACCAAAGTAACAAAGCCTACCATCAGTAACACACTACGCCGCCAGGGACTCAAATCCTGCGGTGCCAGACGTGTCCACCTGCTTAAGCCAGTACATGTCCAGGCCCGTCTGAAGTTTGCTAGAGTGCATTTGGATGATCCAGAAGAGGATTGGGAGAATGTCATATGGTCAGATGAAACCAAAATAGAACTTTTTGGTAAAAACTCAACTCGTCGTGTTTGGAGGACAAAGAATGCTGAGTTGCATCCAAAGAACACCATACCTACTGTGAAGCATGGGGGTGGAAACATCATGCTTTGGGGCTGTTTTTCTGCAAAGGGACCAGGACGACTGATCCGTGTAAAGGAAAGAATGAATGGGGCCATGTATCGTGAGATTTTGAGTGAAAACCTCCTTCCATCAGCAAGGGCATTGAAGATGAAACGTGGCTGGGTCTTTCAGCATGACAATGATCCCAAACACACCGCCCGGGCAACAAAGGAGTGGCTTCATAAGAAGCATTTCAACGTCTTGGAGTGGCCTAGCCAGTCTCCAGATCTCAACCCCATAGAAAATCTTTGGAGGGAGTTGAAAGTCTGTGTTGCCCAGTGACAGCCCCAAAACATCACTGCTCTAGAGGAGATCTGCATGGAGGAATGTGCCAAAATACCAGCAACAGTGTGTGAAAACCTTGTGAAGACTTACAGAAAACGTTTGACCTGTGTCATTGCCAACAAAGGCTATATAACAAAGTATTGAGAAACTTTTGTTATTGACCAAATACTTATTTTCCACCATAATTTGCAAATAAATTCATTAAAAATCCTACAATGTGATTTTCTGGAAAAAAAAATCTCATTTTGTCTGTCATAGTTGACGTGTACCTATGATGCAAATTACAGGCCTCTCTCATCTTTTTAAGTGGGAAAACTTGCACAATTGGTGGCTGACTAAATACTTTTTTTCCCCACTGTATGTGTATACATATATATATACACACAGTTGAAATTGGAAGTTTACATACACCTTAGCCAAATACATTTAAACTCAGTTTTTCACAATTCCTGACATTTTATCCTAGTAAAAATTCCCTGTCTTAGGTCAGTTAGAATCACCACTTTATTTTAATGAATGTGAAATGTCAGAATAGTAGAGAGAATGATTTATTTCAGCTTTTATTTCTTTCATCACATTCCCAGTGGGTCAGAAGTTTACATACACTCAATTAGTATTTGGTAACATTGCCTTTAAAATTGTTTAACTTGAGTCAAACATTTTGGGTAGCCTTCCACAAGCTTCCCACAATAAGTTGGGTGAATTTTGGCCCATTCCTCCTGACAGAGCTGGTGTAACTGAGTCAGGTTTGTAGGCCTCCTTGCTCATACACACGCCTTTTCAGTTCTGCCCACACATTTTCTATAGGATTGAGGTCAGGGCTTTGTGATGGCCACTCCAATATCTTGACTTTGTTGTCCTTAAGCCATTTTGCCACAACTTTGGAAGTATGCTTGGGGTCATTGTCCATTTGGAAGACCCATTTGCGACCAAGCTTTAACTTCCTGACTGATGTCTTGAGATGTTGCTTCAATATATACACATAATTTTCCTTCCTCATGATGCCATCTATTTTGTGAATATAGATACTTTTGTACCTGTTCCTCCAGCATCTTCACAAGGTCCTTTGCTGTTGTTCTGGGATTGATTTGCACTTTTCGCACCAAAGTACGTTCATCTCTAGGAGACAACGTCTCCTTCCTGAGCGGTATGACGGCTGCGTGGTCCCATGGTGTTTATACTTGCGTACTATTGTTTGTACAGATGAACGTGATACCTTCAGGCGTTTGGAAATTGCTCCCAAGGATGAACCAGACTTGTGGAGGTCTACAATAATTTTTCTGAGGTCTTGGCTGATTTCTTTTGATTTTCCCATGATGTCAAGCAAAGAGGCACTGAGTTTGAAGGTAGGCCTTGAAATACATCCACAGGTACACGTCCAATTGACTCAAATGATGTCAATTAGCCTATCAGAAGCTTCTAAAGCCATGACAACATTTTCTGGAATTTTCCAAGCTGTTTAAAGGCACAGTCAACTTAGTGTATGTAACCTTCTGACCCACTGGAATTGTGATACAGTGAATTATAAGTGAAATAATCTGTCTGTAAACAATTGTTGGAAAAATTACTTGTGTCATCCACAAAGTATATGTCCTAACCGACTTGCCAAAACTATAGTTTGTTAAAAAGACATTTGTGGAGTGGTTGAAAAACGAGTTTTAATGACTCCAACCTAAGTGTATGTACTGTTCGTCGGGAGCTTCTTGAAATGGGTTTCCATGGCCGAGCAGCCGCACACAAGCTTATGATCACCATGCGCAATGCCAAGCGTCGGCTGGAGACGTGTGAAGCTCGCCGCCATTGGACTCTGGAGCAGTGGAAACACGTTCTCTGGAGTGATGACTTGCACTTCACCATCTGGCAGTCCGACGGACGAATCTGGGTTTGGCGGATGCCAGGAAAGTTTGGTGGACAAGGAATAATGTTCTGGGGCTGTTTTCATGGTTCGGGCTAGGCCCCTTAGTTCCAGTGAAGTGAAATCTTAATGCTACAGCATACAATGACATTGTAGACGATTCTGTGCTTTCAACCTTGTGGCAACAGTTTGGGGAAGGCCCTTTCCTGTTTCAGCATGACAATGCCCCCGTGCACAATGAGATGTCCATACAGAAATGGTTTGTCGAGATCTGTGTGGAAGAACTTGACTTGCCTGCACAGAGCCCTGATCTCAACCCCATTGAACAGCTTTGGGATGAATTGGAATACCGACCGCGAGCCAGGCCTAATCATCCAACATCAGTGCCCGACCTCTAATGATTGTGGCTGAATGGAAGCAAGTCCGTGCAGCAATGTTCCAATATCTAGTGGAAAGCCTTCCCATAGGAGTGGAGGCTGTTATAGCAGCAAAGGGGGGACAAACACCATATCAATGCCCATGATTTTGGAATGAGATGTTCGACGAGTAAGTGTCCACATACTTTTGCTAATGTAGTGTAAATATATATTTAGCTCTTATTTAGTATTGTATTCAGCGGATTTAACTTAGAAAAAGAGCATGTTTTCACTCACGAACCTGCAGCCACTAGTTAGCTTGTCAGTTGACGTTAGCGCCGTTCTGCCGCAGAGCAGTGCCAGAGTTCTATTGAGCATTGACCACTTTTTGATCATGCCTGTGATGACATTCCATTCACTATAAACATGCTAAATTCTCAGAGTAAATCGTCGGTAACTTTTGAACTATACAGTGCTATAAAAAAGTATTTGCCCCCTTTCTAATTTTCTCTACTTTTGCATATTTGTGATACTGAATGTTATCAGATCTTCAACCAAAACCTAATATTAGATAAAGGGAACATAAGTGAACAATTAACACAACAATTACATATTTATTTCATAAACAAAGTTATGCAACACCCAATTCCCCTGTGTGAAAAAGTAATTGCCCCCTTACACTCAATAACTGGTTGTGCCACCTTTAGCTGCAATGACTCCAACCAAATGCTTCCTGTAGTTGTTGATCAGTCTCTCACATGGTCTTGGATGACATGGTTCCAGTAATGCCTGGCGCAAACCACACTCTGCATTCCACAGTAAGAACATCATACCAAAGGTCAAGCATGGTGGTGGTGGTGTGATGGTTTGGGGATGCTTTGCTGCCTCAGGACCTGGACGACTTGCCTTAATAGAAGGAACCATGAATTCTGCTCTGTATCAGAGAATTCTACAGGAGAATGTCAGACCATCCGTCTGTGAGCTGAAGCTGAAGTGCAGCTGGGTCATGCAGCAAGACAATGATCCAAAACACACAATCAAGTCTACATGAAAATTGCTAAAAAGCAACAAATTGGAAGTTTTGGAATGGCCTAGTCAAAGTCCAGACCTAATCCCAATTGAGATGATGTGGCAGGACTTGAAACGAGCAGTTCATGCTTGTAAACCCACACGTCACTGAGTTAAAGCAGTTCTGCATGGAAGAGTGGGCCAAAATTCCTCCACAGCGACGTGAGAGACTGATCAACAACTACAGGAAGCATTTGGTTGGAGTCATTGCAGCTAAAGGTGGCACAACCAGTTATTGAGTGTAAGGGGGCAATTACTTTTTCACACAGGGGAATTGGGTGTTGCATAACTTTGTTTATGAAATAAATGAAATAAATATGTAATTGTTGTGTTAATGGTTCACTTATGTTCCCTTTATCTAATATTAGGTTTTGGTTGAAGATCTGATAACGTTCAGTATCACAAATATGCAAAATTAGAAAGGGGGCAAATACTTTTTCATAGCACTGTATATGGTAGAGACATTGGGTTTGGACTATTGTTTTTCTGATGGAGTTTTCTATTGAATGCACACATTTGTATAAACCTTGAATGAATTAAGCATTTTATGGTTGAACACCCTATATTATCTTCCATTTTGAAAAGGGAGAAACTCATTAATAACAGTTGGCATCATCCATCACATTTAAAAACCGTACCTGATGTACTGTGCTGGGGCCTGTTTGTCAGCTGCCCTCACAGGCATAGCTGCAGCTATCTTCTGAGAGACCTGCTTCATCAGAGCATCACGGGTCTTCTCTGTCAGCTCTTTGACAGCCTCCTCGTCAGGCTTCTGCAGCTCTGGGGCATCGTCGTTCAGCACTTCCTTAGGAAGCAGGTCTGTGTACTTACTGAAGATCACCTGCACAGGGAGAAAAGAGGAGACAGCTGAACATATAGAAACTGAACTGTACACAGGTCCTCTGTGACAGCTTTTATTCAAATGATGGCTCTTAGTTTAACACAGGATCTTGGCAAGAAACAGCTTTGTTTACTTGGTAACTAGATGACAATAACAAAAACATAACTATGGTGGGTCACAGCACAGAAAAGGTCTGGAGACCACGGCTCTATAAAACAAACATGTGGGCACAACTATTCATAGGCAATTTCGGCCCCAAGGTCATGGTCCCGTGTGGCTCTGTTGGTACAGCATGGCGCTTGCAAAGCCAGGGTTGTGGGTTGTGGGTTTGATTCCCACGGGGGACCAGCATGAAAAAAGTATGCACTCACTACTGTAAGTCGTTCTGGATAAGAGTGTCTGCTAAATTACTTATGTAAAAAATGTAAAATAAATCCAAATGAAAATGACCAAATGGCTTACTTGATGTCACAGACTCATCTGAGAATGTCTCGTACCTACAACTACATTGTAGATCTAGGTAAACCAAGCAGACCAGCTGGATATCTATTCATATTCTTACCTTGTCCTTGCCCTGTCCCTGTCTGGCGATGGCGTCGTATTTGATCTTGCCCTCAGCGTCCACCTGTACAGCCAGGGCGTTGGAGGTTTTCTTCCTTCTGCCCATCTCCAGAGGGAACTGAGCCACGTGGATCTCAGGGAACGCACCGCCATCTCCAAAGTCCTACAACACAAGGGTGGGTGTCAAACACAGAGAGACTAGTAGTAAGACGCAATATGCAGCTGTACCCATCTCCACTGTCCTACAACATAGGGGAGTCCAACACACAAACTGAGAGGAAAAAGCTATGTAAAGCCGTTAGAGATGAGGTTCTCTAACTGTTTCACATGACATCTCTTTTCTGAACATTCAGGGTGTCATTTCTAACACAACACCAACAATAACACAGGTTAACTGAATCCATCATTAAACTAGGTATGGATTAAGCTTAGTACTTCCAGAGAGCGGGGCACCCAGCTCTTCCTGTAGCCGTAGGGAGGGGGTTCTCTGCGGGAGGAGACGAGGGCGGTGGAGTGGGACCTCTGTGCCCGGGCCCTCTCCTCGGACTCCAGCTGGTCCTGGGACAGCTGAGTCGGCGCCGGTAGGAAGCTGCAGGCAAAAAAAACAAAATACTGAATTGTCATTCTTCTTTCACTATTAGCTAGGGATTTCCCCTTCCGACATCTCGACTGTAAACAAGGCCTTCGAACGTTAGGATAACGTAGTTAACGTTCCTTACTGTACGTAGTTACAGTAGCGTACGTGGACAGTGCATGTGTTAGCTGCAAATACTTGTTTTGAGACAAAACACAAGCTTTTGTTTGCAGTAGTAACGTAAAGGTACAGGTACTAATAACCCTGACCCCGATTCACCAAATAACTAGTTAAACCCCAAAACAAGAAACCGGTAAGAGACCAGCTACTAGTAACTAACTAACGTAGGCCAGGACTAGCTAGCTATATGCTAAAGAACAAAACATCGATTTCATAGCAATAATATGGTAGTAAAACCTTAGTAACGTTACATAATATAGTGGCCATTTGTCGTAACATGCATTTTTACCACTTAAACGTCTGATTGCAATTGTTTTACATTATGTAAAATATAAATAAGACCTTTCCACAATACTCACCTCGTCAGCGACATTTTAATTTATTCCACACAATGTCTATGATCTCGCGATGTCTGCTTCGACGTTTTTCTGAGAAGGGGGAGGAAGCGGGTGGAAGTGAGAGGTTTCGCTTTCAAATGAAATAAAATAAAATTGTATGTCACATGCTTCGTAAACAACAGGTGTAGACTAACAGTGAAATGCTTACTTAAAGGTCCCTTTCCAACAATGCAGAGTTTAAGATAAAGATAAAAAAGATAAAATAAGAGTACAAATAGTGACATAGGAATAAATACACAGTGAATAAAGAATAACAACAAAGAGTAGTGCCCTCTTCACAACTGTGTGGGTATGGACCATGTTAATTCCTTAGTGATGTGGACACACATGTACTTGAAGCTCTTGACCCGCTCCAGTACAGCCCCATCGGTGTGGATGGGGGCATGCTAGGCCCTTAGTTACCTGTAGTCCACAATCAGCTCATTTGTCTTGCTGACATTGAGGAAGAGGTTGTTTTCCTGGCACCACACTGCCAGGTCTCTGACCTCCTCCTTATAGGCGGTCTCATCGTCGTCAGTAATACTAGATACAGTGGGGGAAAAAAGTATTTAGTCAGCCACCAATTGTGCAAGTTCTCCCACTTAAAAAGATGAGAGAGGCCTGTAATTTTCATCATAGGTACACGTCAACTATGACAGACAAATTGAGAATTTTTTTCCAGAAAATCACATTGTAGGATTTTTAATGAATTTATTTGCAAATTATGGTGGAAAATAAGTATTTGGTCACCTACAAACAAGCAAGATTTCTGGCTCTCACAGACCTGTAACTTCTTCTTTAAGAGGCTCCTCTGTCCTCCACTCGTTACCTGTATTAATGGCACCTGTTTGAACTTGTTATCAGTATAAAAGACACCTGTCCACAACCTCAAACAGTCACACTCCAAACTCCACTATGGCCAAGACCAAAGAGCTGTCAAAGGACACCAGAAACAAAATTGTAGAACTGCACCAGGCTGGGAAGACTGAATCTGAAATTGGTAAGCAGCTTGGTTTGAAGAAATCAACTGTGGGAGCAATTATTAGGAAATGGAAGACATACAAGACCATTGATAATCTCCCTCGATCTGGGGCTCCACGCAAGATCTCACCCCGTGGGGTCAAAATGATCACAAGAACGGTGAGCAAAAATCCCAGAACCACACGGGGGGACCTAGTGAATGACCTGCAGAGAGCTGGGACCAAAGTAACAAAACTACCATCAGTAACACACTACGCCGCCAGGGACTCAAATCCTGCAGTGCCAGACGTGTCCCCCTGCTTAAGCCAGTTCATGTCCAGGCCCGTCTGAAGTTTGCTAGAGTGCATTTGGATGATCCAGAAGAGGATTGGGAGAAAGTCATATGGTCAGATGAAACCAAAATAGAACTTTTTGGTAAAAACTCAACTCGTCGTGTTTGGAGGACAAAGAATGCTGAGTTGCATCCAAAGAACACCATACCTACTGTGAAGCATGGTGGTGGAAACATCATGCTTTGGGGCTGTTTTTCTGCAAAGGGACCAGGACGACTGATCCGTGTAAAGGAAAGAATGAATGGGGCCATGTATCGTGAGATTTTGAGTGAAAACCTCCTTCCATCAGCAAGGGCATTGAAGATGAAACGTGGCTGGGTCTTTCAGCATGACAATGATCCCAAACACACCGCCCGGGCAACGAAGGAGTGGCTTCGTAAGAAGCATTTCAAGGTCCTGGAGTGGCCTAGCCAGTCTCCAGATCTCAACCCCATAGAAAATCTTTGGAGGGAGTTGAAAGTCCGTGTTGCCCAGCGACAGCCCCAAAACATCACTGCTCTAGAGGAGATCTGCATGGAGGAATGGGCCAAAATACCAGCAACAGTGTGTGAAAAGCTTGTGAAGACTTACAGAAAACGTTTGACCTGTGTCATTGTCAACAAAGGGTATATAACAAAGTATTGAGAAACTTTTGTTATTGACCAAATAGTTATTTTCCACCATAATTTGCAAATAAATTCATTAAAAATCCTACAATGTGATTTTCTGGAGAAAAAAAATCTCATTTTGTCTGTCATAGTTGACGTGTACCTATGATGAAAATTACAGGCCTCTCTCATCTTTTGAAGTTGGAGAACTTGCACAATTGGTGGCTGACTAAATACTTTTTTCCCCCCACTGTATGTGTGTATTGGGTATATGTTGTGAAATTGTTAGATATTACTTGTTAGATATTATTGCACTGTCGGAGCTAGAAGCACAAGCATTTCGCTACACCCGCAATAACATCTGCTAAACACGTGTATGTGACAAATAAAATGTGATGTTGGAGTCGTGCGCGGCCACACAGTCGTGGGTTAACAGAGAGTACAGGAGGGGACTAAGCACACACACCTGAGTGGGGTCTTACTCACATCGGCTACAGAGAGCGAGATCACACAGTCATCCGGAACAGCTGGTACTCTCATGCATGGTTCAGTGTTCTTGCCTCTAAGTGAGCATAGAGGCATTTAGCTCGGCTGTTAGTCTCACGTTGCTGGGCTGCTCGTGGCTGGGTTTCTTTGTAATCCGTGATCGTTTGCAAGCCCTGCCACATCCATCCTGCCAGAGCCGGCGTAGTAGGATTCAATCTTAGTCCTGTATTAATGTTTTGCCTGTTTGATGGCTCGTCGGAGGTCATAGCCTTGATGGCTCGCCAAAATCTGTCCAAAGCATTTCTATGGGCTTATTTTGGACCAAAGCTTGTCACCTGCCTTCCCACCTTTGGGACAACAACTCCCATTGTTAGGGCAGAGACATGAGCATCTCGTCATTATATACAGATCTCTGAAAGGAGGTAGCTGCAGCCCAATACGGCGACCGGAGTATGGGGTCGTCACTAGTTACCACACCCACAAAGTCAGAACCCTCAGCTTATTTCAAAATTTTTACATTTTAGTCATTTAGCAGACACTCTTATCCAGAGCGACTTACAGTTAGTGAGTGCATACATTTTTCATACTGGCCCCCCGTGGGAATCAAACCCACAATCCTGGTGTTGTAAGCGCCATGCTCTACCAACTGAGCTACAGGAGGCCTTCTACAATTTCTCTTCTAAAAATTTGATTTTAAACTTCACCCTAACCTTAACCACACTGCTAACCTTATGCCTAACCCTAACCTTACATTAAGACCAAATAGTACATTTTTGTTTTCATGAATTTTTTACGATATAGACAATTTTGACTATGTGGCTGTGATATCTAGTGGAAAACGGCGTATGGGCGAGTGGGGGCGTGTGGAAAGGAGTGGGTGTGTCGACAGGAAAATTGTGGGCGTGTGGAAAGTAGTGGGTGTGTTGAAAGCGCTCTGCTATAGATTAGACGATTTTGATTGAGCTGTGTTTTTTTTCTTCCGTTTCTTACCACGCATCTATCTACCTTACATTGAGCTACTGTACCGCAAGACTTTGGACTTCTGTTTTGAAGCCAGAGGATGAGTCTGAGTTGTATTTCACTGTTAGTTTTACACAAATAATTGTACATTTTCAGTTATAAAGTTATCTTTTTTATTAAAAGTTAGGTAAGGGGCCCCTGCACCAAAGCGCCAAAGCAACTCACACCAAACATTTGAGCCTAGAGAGCATATTAATCAGTGATCACCAAGGATGTCCAAGGTAAAATAGCCATTTTGCATAGGAAATCTAGATGTAAAATATATAGGGTGAAGTCAGCAAAAGTGGGACCCTTTTTTATTCCTAGCTTTCTGCACTATTGTAACTGCCTCAAAATTGTCCAAATTAGGCTATTGAGAAGATGTCAGAAAGAGCATCGATGACCCAAAAGATAAAAGCTGCCTTGTCTCATTCACCTCCCTGTCACTCATCATCTATCCTCTGACAGTGTTATTTCTACAAACCCTGTCAGCTCACATCCATCACAGCATTAAACTTCATTAGGTCTCCATTCACCAATAGGAAGACACAATAAATATCAAAATAGCAATAGCCTAAGTGCCTATTCAATACTGTTGACCGGTGTGTAGGCCTTTTCTAATACTTCTAGGACCCAACCCACTGAATGGAAATCCATCCTTGAGACTTTTTCCTATAGGATATGTACTGTATTAATACATAACAGTGGGTCACATCCCATATGGAAAAGATATAGAAGAATTTAACAAGGTTCTTAAATGTTCTACCTGGAACTTGTAAGTAATACGGCAGCAAATACACTTACAAGATTAATTGAATATTCTTGTAATATCCAACTTATATGTTGCATGTATTGTATAAAAAACATACAAGAGACATGTAAGCTAATCCTTCTAAAGTCTCAAATACCATATCTACGAAAATGACCTCAAACATGTATTCAATTGTGTTTGCCACATACATGTATATGTTAACACATACAGTGTCTTCGGAAAGTATTCAGACCCCTTGACTTTTCCCACATTTTGTTACGTTACAGCCTTATTCTAAAATTGATTAAATAAAACAATTTCCTCAGCACTCTACACACAATACCCCATAATGACAAAGCGAAAACAGGTTTTTGGAACTTTTTTGAAATGTATTTGGAAAGGCACACACCTGTCTATATATGGTCCCACAGTTGCAAATGCCAGAGCCTATGTGTGTCTGCGAGCAGGAGTTGTGACATAGAGCGCTTTCAATTTTGTGCAGATATGGGATATACATTTTAAAATAAATTAAAATATATAGTTTATTTATTGTCCTATCATGATGGAACAGTCCCCAACCCTATACCATAGACACCAACCTGAGCAACCCACACACTAAGGAGAAGTCCTTATCTGTTTTATAGGCCTACTGCAAGTAGTTATACGCAGCCAAGACAGAAAGATGAACACGGTCAGAGACCCACTAAAGCAGCACCGCCCCCTCACACTCGGTCAATCAGAGAGTGGGCAACTTATTGTGGCCCTGGTGGCACAAAATAATCGAAAGGTCTGACTGCATAGAAATGCTTGTGAAAATGGTCACAAAGGGGGACCAGTGTGCGTTTCAGGGCGAAGGGGTG